CAGTGGGCGAGGTGCAGGAGGCAGCTGATCGATGTTTCTCTCTCATCGATGTTTCTAACTCTCTATCTCTATCTCTCTCTCTTCCTCTCTGTAAAAAATCAATAAAATATATTTAAAAAATATATGTCTTTGTTTTACTGTGGTTGCAAATATCAAAAAATTTCTCTATGTGACACGGCACCAGAGTTCAGTTAGGGTTTTTCAAAATGCTGGCACACCGAGCTCCAAAGGTTCACCATCACTGCTATAGGGAGACCCCGAAATAAAGATCAGCTGACAGACACAAAAGCAGAACCAGAGCCCGAGACCCAAGCTCTGCAGACCCTGGGCCCAGGGCCTGGGGGGCCCCCGGACACTGCAGGGGCCTGGCCATACCCAGGAGGCTGCGCCAGAAGGCGGTGACGGTGGCAGAGCCCGTGACGGCGCCGGGCTCGGCGGGGTTCTCCCGGTGGGTGTGCACAGCGAAGCTTCGTCCTGTGGGGCCCGGGGGCCCGCTCAGCTCCACATCCACCACGTGCATGTCCGTGAGGCTGGAGCAAGCAGGGCAGTCAGTCTTGCTGGCCGGCCCCAGACCCACCCCCTGCCCAGCGTCGCTCACCTGCGATCCGCCACCAGCACCCCGATCACGCGGTCGAACCCCAGGCTGGGGGCGGCCAGGGCGGCAGCCGCCATGGTGTTGGAGTTTCGGGGGGCAAAGGGGCAGAGCCCACGCACAGGGCCTTCGTAGAGCACAGTGCGAGGCCCCGTGCTCTGAGCGGCGGCCAGGGGTCCCTCCAGCCGGAAGCCATCGGGATGTGTGGCCATGGTGACACGGAGGCTCTGGAAGTGACAGCCAGGCTCAGGGGGGCCCAGGGGTCTCTGCAGAGCCCCTCCGCTTCCTGGGGACTCCAACAGGCCCTCACCTGGAGGCCGCCAGCCGCGTCCAGTCTGCTGATGTCCTCAGTGCCCCACAGCGCCCCCCGGGCCACGAACACGGCGTGGTTCCAGCGTTTGGAGGCCTCCAGGAGCCGCTGCTCTGTGGCCTGGTCAGCCAGGGCGGAGGGGGACCCCACCTGGGGTGGGTGAAGGTGGGTGGGGCAGAGGTCAGGGGACCCATCCCACTCTGGGGTGGGGTGGGGCCAAGGAGGAAGGGCCGGGGCTCACCAGGAGGTTGGCGTGGCGCAGGATCTGTGCCCCAGATTCCTGGATTATTTTGGGATGGGCCACTTCCACCACAAGATCGGGGTGCCTAGGAGAGGGGAGAGGTGGGGAGGGCCCTGGAAAGAGATCAGGCCTCCACTTCCCAGATTTTCTCGGTCTGTCGTGGCCCGTCACTCCTCACCCAGGCCTGGGAGGGGAAACGGGGCGGATGGGCTTGTCCCAACTCATACTTGGGTGACCCAAGGCCCAGAGAAGGTGAGGGACGTGCCTCAGGTCACACAGCAGCTAAGGGAGGCCAGAACAGGAGCTGCGCCCCGGGAGCCCTGCTCGCTCAGGGCAAGGTCACTGACCTCTCCCCAAGGTCAGCGAGGTTCTGCAGCTGCAGGGACGGGGGCACTTTCCCCGCCAGGCGTCCTGGGTCTCGATTCCAGACAAAAACCAGTTCTAGGCCCAGTTCCGGCCCCTGAGTCAGCAGGTGGGAGACCAGGGACTGTCCTGGGAGGAGGGAAAGAACCTCAGAGAACAGGGGACAGAGCCCCAGGGGAAGGGGGACAGGGACCTAGAGAAGGAGAGGGAGCCCCATGGTGGGTGAAAGGTGTGTTTGTGGCGGACACAGGGCCTCGGGGGCTTCAGGAAGGGGCCAGGGGAGGAGCCCCAGAGGGTCAGGGACTCACCGAGACGGCCGTAGCCCACCACCCCCACCCTCCGCGGGACCCTGTCCAGGGCCATGTCCTTGAGTCTGGTGGTCTGGTCTGCGGTCCGAGCTCCATCAGCTGCCGGCTGCCCGCTCCCCCCACCACACACCAGGCCTGGGCAGCCGCCGATCTTTGGACATTTGACCCTTGAGCCTCTCCCAAGCCGTCCCCCTTCCCCGCAGCCCAGAGGCGAGGGTGCCAGTTGGCTGGGCGGAGGCGGGGTGACGGTGCTGGGGGCTGTGGGCATGGTGATTTGGGGCTCCAGGGGCCCTGCATGGCCCCCATCGTCTGGGCCAGTTCCTTCCCTGCACCGTGCCCTCCTCCCTCGCTGCTGATGTGGAAAATTTCCTCTGCAGTCCCCCGCCCCCTTTTCTGGCCCGGCCAGGTTGTCATGGAAACTGCATCCTGCTTGGGGTGGGGGTTGAGGTTTGGGAGCAGGGAGAAGAGATGGTGACAGGGACTCTGGGCTCTCAGTCTGTGCCCTTGCTCCTGCGTAGCCAATGCCCCCTCCCCTGCCCTCCCCCCCGCGGTCACTCCCCCAGGTCTTGGCACAACGTTCTTCCTCCACTTGGGTCTCTGTGTCTGTCTCTGATGCCTCTGCTGCGGTGCTCTGTGTGCCCGCCTCCCTGGACCGCCATCCTTCCGGCCCCCACCCCCATCTCACCTGGGCTGGCTGCCACGCTGCCCCCAGCCAGGCCAGGCCCACATCTCCCCACTGCAGGGTCTGGAGGCCTGGCCTGGCTGTTCCTCGTCTCCCCAGAAGGCCGCGGGATGGAGCCGGCTACCCCAGCCCGGGGCCAGGACCCCCCTCCGTTGGTTCACCTTGACTTCCGACCACTCATCCTCCTCCTCCCCCGGCCACCAGGCCAGCAGCACCCCTCCCAGTGTTGTGTTCTCACCCCCACACTGTCCCTCCCGCCTCCCCACGTCCCATCGGTCAAGGAGAAGCCGGCGAGGCCCGCGGAGGCCCAGTGCCCCCCAAAGGAGCCCCAACCAGCGCGGGTGCCTGGCATCGGAAATGGCGGCGTCTGCAGCAGCGCCCGGCTCCCTGCCCCCAGCCGCCACCTGGTACCCGCTGCAGCGTTGCCATGGCAACCAGGGATGGCTCTGAAAGGGGACGCGGGAGAAAAGGAGCATGAAAGAGGGAGCGAGGGAGAGTCCCGAGCCGAGGTGCCTGCCATGGCGGCTGCGGCCTCTGCCCGTGAGGGAGGAGGGTGCTGTAAGAGCCGCAGGTGGAGGAGATGAACTGCCGTGGGCCCCACCTCTGTCCTCAACTCTGGGGGCCTGGGTGTCCCCCACAGCACCCAGCCCTGCTCTGCACGGGGCCAGGCTGGGCCGCGGTGACGGGGGAGAGGGGGCTGAGACCCAGTGGGCCTCAGGGAGCACCCCCTGCTCCGGACCCAGCCCTGCGTGTGCGTGGACCCGCCTCCGTGGGCCTCTGTCTGTCTAGACAGCACGGATGGCGCCCAGTCCCCTAGAGCAGTGGTTCTCAACCTTCCTGATGCCGCGGCCCTTTCATACAGTTCCTCATGTTGTGGTGACCCCCAATCTCATTGTGACAAATTGAACATAATGAAAGCCTAGTGATTCATCACAAAAACAATATGTAATTCTATCTGTGTTTTCCGATGGTCTTAGGCGGCCCCTGTGAAAGGGTCGTTCGACCCCCCCCAGGGGTCACGACCCACAGGTTGAGAACCGCTGCGCTAGAGGCTCAACCGCCAGCACCTTGGCCTCCCTGCTCACCCCTGGGTCTGCTCCCGCACCCTGGCTGCTGGCCCTGGGGGGCGGGGGTGGGGCTCTGCATGGGGCCCCTGCCCTGGGGGACAGTGTATCCTCCCCCCACCCCCAGGCCTGGACCCCATCCCTCTGGCCTCTGCATTTACAAGACAATGTGTGTCTCCCTCTGGTCCAGGGGGCCTCGGGGAGCACCCCTTGCCCCCAGGTCACCCCCCTTCACCTAGACCCGCTTTGCTTTCTGGGGTGTGAACAGGTGTGTGCGGTGGAGACGG